AAAAAAAAAAAAAAAAAAAAGCCTGCTATTCAGGGCTTTTTGGTTTTATAACTACCGAAGAGAACACGTGGACGTGAAATGCTTTCCTGAGACAAAACTCCAGTTAAAATCTGGGTGGTCCCTATGTTCCCCAGCCACAAGTCCCAGATTACACACTGTTTCTCCTAACTTCATTCTTAAGTGGTACCACATCTTCAAACAGGCTTCGCGTGACCCCACAATCCTGTTGCTCCCAATGCGAGTGACACAGGGATGCCGTGCACTACACACCATGGCCTCGTCAGGATGGAAGAGGTGGTGGGAGCTGGGTGAGGCCAGCCTGCTCTGAGAGCCACCTTGAGAACTGCCAGGGCAGAGTGGGGCTTGAGGGAGTGAAGGCCGTCCTCCTTGGGCTTCACGCTGCTGCTGGGCAGCTGCAGAGACAGAACTTGACCTTCAGAGTTCCATGGAAATGCACCCCGTCCCCCAAATACAATCATGGAAAGAGGCTTGAAACCCAGCAGATAAAACTGCCAGACCAAGAGCCACACTCATTTCACTTAGGGTACCTTTTCTGTGTGGTCACAACAACTGTCGTTTTTGCGGATGTTAACGCTTGTGAACTTTTAAGCTTTTTCCAAGAAAATGGTTCGCGCACAGCAATTAGTGACTCCTCCCCACTGACAACATTGACTTCAAGGTATCGCCCAATCAGGAAATCGGAAAAACAAAGCAAAAGGAGCTCCTTGCAGCGGCCAGGATTTCTTGAAAAAACAAAATGAAATTTAGTTTTAGTCATAATTACGACAAGCAGAGTCAACACAATTTTCCTTTGCACATACAAGAAAAGTGACAGAGCTAACAGTCATCTTTAGTCTTCAATAATTCTTTTTCCAGAGAAAAAAGAGATTTTCTAAAATAAGCTGTGTAATTAATATTTTCTCAAGATAAAATTAAGCACCTGTGGGCCGGGTGCGGTGGCTCAGGCCTGTAATCCTAGCACTTTGGGAGACTGAGGCAGGCAGATTGCTTGAGCCCAGGAGTTTGAGACCAGCCTGGGCAACATAGGATGAACCTGTCTCTGCAAAAAATACACAAATTAGCCGGGCATGGCGGTGCGTGCCTGTGGTTCCGGCTACTTGGGAGGCTGAGGTGGGAACCCAGGGAGGTGGAGGCTGCAGTGAGCCATGATCATGCCTCTGCACTCCAGCCTGGGCAACAACAACAACAACAACAATTAAGCATCTATGACAGTCTTTTTTGTAATCCTAACATATAAGAATAGGAAAGTTTTGATATTCCCAGCTTTAAGTCAGAATTTTATGACATGACCAAAAACAGGTACTACACCTAAAGTGCTTTCTGTCCAGCCCTTGCTGTGGCTCTAACTGGGGCTACACCATCCACACTACA